TTTTGGCCAAAAGACCAAAATGCCCTGTTTGAAAGTGAGAGAAAGGAGAGAGGAAGGAGAGACGAAGACGTTGATAAAATACGAGAAGGAGAGAGGAGGAAGACGCTGATGAAATTGGGAAGAAGAGAGGAAGGAGAGAGGAAGACGCTGATTTTCGATGGGTTCCCACAGCTTAAAAGGTTATTGTCTAGCATTTCTCTAAAAAATTTTGGTTCTGTCTCTGTTCTTCGCATAAAACCATTTTCAGATAATGTGAAGCTGTGGGAAAGATGAAGCAAAAATAAGAAAACAATGGCAAGCAATTACGTAACGTAACTGCTGTCATATGCCTGCTGGTTTTTGGTAAATCTCATTACGTGAGTGGTAAATTTCACTATACATGTAGTTAATTATGAATTTTACAAAATACATACTGTGATTTACAACTTTTGTAGTGAAAGTGACTACTTTGTTAATGGCTTTTGCAACCTGTTTTCAAGAGATAAACAACTTGTTTGTAAAAACTAATAAAATTTAACGCTAAATTTGACAAAACGTATAGTGGGATTTACAACTTCCATAGTAAAAATGACCACTTATTCAATGGGTTTTGCAACTTGTTTTCAGGGGATGGGCAGCTTGTTTCTAAAAACTAATAAAATTTCATACTAAATTTGACAAAACACATAGTGAGATTTACAACTTTCATAGTGAAAATGATCACTTCTTCAATGGGTTTTGTAACATGTTTTCAAGGGATTGACAACTTGTTTCTAAAAACCAATAAAATTCTATGCTGAATTTTACAAAACATAGAGTGATATTTACAACTTTTGTAGTGAAAATTACCACTTCTTAAATGAATTTTGCAACTTCTTTTCAGGGGATGAGCAACTTGTTTCTAAAAATCAATAAAATTTCACGCTGAATTTGACAAAACACATAGTGAGATTTACAACTTTCATAGTGAAAATGATCACTTCTTCAATGGGTTTTGTAACATGTTTTCAAGGGATTGGCAACTTTTCACTATAAAAGTTGTAAATCTCACTGTGTGTTTTGTAAAATTCAGTGTGAAATTTTATTGGTTTTTAGAAACAAGTTGCTCATCCCCTGAAAAGAGGTTGCAAAACCCATTTAAAAAGTGATCATTTTCACTAAGAAAGTTGTAAGTCTCACTACATGTTTTGTAAAATTCAGCATCGAACTTTATTGGTTTTTATAAACAAATTGCCAATCCCTTGAAAACATGTTACAAAACCCATTGAAGAAGTGATCATTTTCACTATGAAAGTTGTAAATCTCACTATGTGTTTTGTCAAATTCAGCGTGGAATTTTATTGATTTTTAGAAACAAGTTGCTCATCCCCTGAAAAGAAGTTGCAAAACCTATTGAAGAAGTGATCATTTTCACTATGAAAGTTGTAAATCTCACTCTATGTTTTGTCAAATTCAGCATAGAATTTTATTAGTTTTTAGAAACAAGCTGCCCAGCCCCTGAAAACAAGTTGCAAAACCCATTGAATAAGTGGTCATTTTTACTATGGAAGTTGTAAATCCCACTATACGTTTTGTCAAATTTAGCGTTAAATTTTATTAGTTTTTACAAACAAGTTGTTTATCTCCTGAAAACAGGTTGCAAAAGCCATTAACAAAGTAGTCACTTTCACTACAAAAGTTGTAAATCACAGTATGTATTTTGTAAAATTCATAATTAACTACATGTATAGTGAAATTTACCACTCACGTAATGAGATTTACCAAAAACCAGCAGGCATATGACAGCAGTTACGTTACGTAATTGCTTGCCATTGTTTTCTTATTTTCGCTTCATCTTTCCCACAGCTTCACATTCTCTGAAAATGGTTTTATGCAAAGAACAGAGACAGAACCAAAATTTTTTAGAGAAATGCTAGGCAATAACATTTTAAGCTGTGGGAACCCATCGAAAATCAGCGTCTTCCTCTCTCCTTCCTCTCTTCTTCCCGATTTCATCAGTGTCTTCCTCCTCTCTCCTTCCCGTATTTCATCAACGTCTTCGTCTCTCCTTCCTCTCTCCTTTCTCTCACTTTCAGACAGGGCATTTTGGTCTTTTGGCCAAAAATCCGAATTCCAGATTGGTACCCAGTCCCTTATATGTCATTTTGCTTATTCAGGTGCCTTATTTGTCTTTTTGAAATTCAGGTGGTATTTTATTGTCATTTTCCCAATAAAAACTCATAGCCCAATTTAATTATAATTTGAATTTAAACTACATAAACACAGGACAGCATATAAATGAGAGATAATGGTAAGGGGAATTATTTTTTATGATATTACTAATTAGTAATTACAAGAATTCCTCTATTATCTGTGTATACATTATATAGGTATCCACTTAAAAAATTGCAAATATATATTTGATCAAAATAGCATTAATAGCGATCTTGATATTCCGTGAACAAAATAGAAGTACTCTATTGATAAAGCAAAGAGCAGTCATGAAGTTCACCACAAAAAAAAAAAAAAACAGTTATCGAAGGTTAAAATAGTAGTATTAATAAATAAATTGTTGCTGTCTTCTGCCAAAGCGTTACAGCTAGAAAAGACCACAGATTCTAGCCCCCTTTTTTCCCTAAAATAAATCGAGTAACTTGATCATTTAAAAATAAAAGGAAATAAAATCAGAAAATCCACCCTTCCATGGATTAATATAAAATATAAGATTTGTTTAGCCGCATTATTCAGATATGAATAATACACATTTCTTTTCCCCTTCGAAACTCCGAGGATAATTTCGCACATTTCATAATTCAAATTACCTGATTCTCTACTAAAAATATGCATATTTAAAGCACTTGATAACAAATATATTTGTCCTTTAATTCACATGAACAACTACTTTCATATGGGTCATACTGAAGCCGTTCTTTAGACAACGGGCACACTAGTCAATCAAAATTACTGCAAAACATGAACAACTGCTTCTCATACAGCAATTTTGTTCTGTCCTAACAAACCAAAACGCCCAACGTTAGTTAGTCGGGTTAAAAAAGCATTTTTATCTTAGAGATTTTCAAAAAGAAACTACGGTATTCGGAAGTCTTTTTTGTGCAATTTTGCCTTAAAAGTAATTAAAAAAAAATGTACCGATTTCATCCTACTCTAAATTGTCACTTGACTCTTATATAATATATCAATTTATAAGTTGCCTAAATTAGTTTGAGAAAATTATAAATATAAAAAATAAAGTGAACCAAAATCTTACATCTATGACTAAATTTAACTTCCAACTAACTCTTATATTAGTAATAAAGAGTATTCATCTAACAAATACTATGGCACACCCAAGAGACGGAAGATAGGGCTTTGATAGGGCTTGCACTTCTCAACAAAGAGGGACTCCGCAGACCACTGCGACAGAGGAAAGAGTGATTCCTTGGATCGTACACTGCGACAAGGAATAAGTGAGGTTCTGATGGAAGAGAGTAAGGAGGACTATGATCGGAGGAAGAAGAAGGTTAGGATGGAAGGAGGAGAATTCTTGGGCCAAGAAACATTGAAGGCAAGAACAGAGGATTGGATGGATGCTGAGCAAGAAAATCCTAAAATTCCCAAATCCTATAGGGAATCTCTGATGCGTAACGTGAACTCGAAGGTTTGTTGGTGGGAGTGGTCGAAGAATGAGGAGGAAGCAGAAGCGAAGAATTATGGAGCAAACACTAATTTTGGGAAAGTTTTGAATCCAAGTGACGGCATCAAGGTAGATCTCTCAAATCCTTTATGTCCTAAATTTGAATTAGATGAGAAAGAAAAAGAGAGATTGTATCGACCTTTTCACTTAACTTTGATTGTGAAGTTAATGGAAAGGAAGCCGAATTATAATTTCATGGTTAGAAAGCTGAAGCAATTATGGGAAAGAAGAGGGGATATAGAGGTTTTTGATTTGGAAAATGACTTTTACTTAGTCAGTTTTCAAAAGAATGAGGATTACACGGAGGCTCTGATGGGTGGACCCTGGGTTATATCTGATGCTTACTTGAATGTAGCAAGGTGGAGACCTGATTTTAGCCCCAAGAAGGAGAGGATAGAAACAATGGTTGCATGGGTAAGGTTTCCTGATTTACCAACTCCCCTGTTTGTAAGAAATTTTTGTTGAACTTGGGTAATGCAATTGGAAAAGCAATCAGACTTGATGTACACACTACTCAATATGCTAGAGGGAAGTTTGCTAGAATGTGTGTTGAACTTGACCTAAATAAACCTCTGGTGCCGAAATTTGATGTGGAGGGACAGATCTTAAGTGTGGTGTATGGGTCTATTATGTAAAAAGTGTGGGAGGTATGGGCATACTGGAGAGAACTGTGAGGACTTCCATACGAAACAAAATCGAATGGAAGAGGATAGAGTTGCAATGCGAGCTGAGAAAGGTAATAACGTGGAGGAAAAAAGGAGATGTGGAAGACTGTACAGAGAAACAGAAGGCCAAAAAAGACGATAAGTATGGTACAGCAGCAACAAAGGGGTTCAAGGTTTGCTGTTTTAGAAGTTGAGGAAGCCAATGATGAAAGTGTAACCACTGAAGGTGTGGATCAAAGAGGAGTGCTGAGGGATATTACTAATATAGCTCCAAGTAGAGGAGTTAAAACGGAAATGATAAAGAAGATGAATAAAGAAGTGAGAAAGAGCAGTATAGTGGCTCATGACATTTCTCTGGAAAAAACTATGAGTGAATCAAAGCAAGGAATAAGGATGGAGAAGGAGGGGAAGTTGAAAAGAGTAAATCAAAGCGCACGAAGGGAGCTTATAGTGGGGCAGAAAGGAGAATTTGAGTGTGAATCATTGGGTATTGGGAGGATCCCTGAAACGAGATTAAATGTCAACGGGGAGACAGAAGATTGGGATGAGTGTTATGCAGAATTTTGATCCAGGAGATGGTCAAAACATAAGGTTGGGGAAAGAGAACATGGATCCAGGTGAGAATGAAATCTTCTATGAAAATGAAGAGGACCCGATCGAATGTTCAGAGATAAATGTGGAAGATGGAGTTGCAACTCCACATCTGGATGTTGATTGATAGGCGTTTGGCTTTAGTGGGTTTGGTTTTTTTCCCCTTTTCTATGACTGCTTACTCTCTCATGAAGGTCTTAATATGGAATGTTAGGGGGGCAAGTAAAGGGTTAACTGCTGATCTTAGAGATTTTCAACAAAAGTATAAATTGGATATGGTTGCTATTGTTGAACCAAGAATAAGTGGCTCTGCTGCGAGAAAAAAAATTAAAAGTTGGGGATTTAACTTCTCTCTTAGAATTGATGCAAATGGTTTCTCTGGTGGTATATGGTTAATGTGGAACTTGTGTGACATAAAGGTGGTTGAGTTGAAAAAGGATGAGCAGTTTTTGCACTGTAGAGTTCTGTGGGGTGGAGATAGCTTGTTGCTAACAATTGTATATGGCAGCCCAAATGAACAGAAGAGGCAAGCCTTATGGCAAAAACTAAAGTGCTTGGAGGAAGAGATTGATGAACCCTGGTTTTTAGCTAGGGATTTTAATGAAATAAAATCACCCCTAGAGCAAAAGGGAGGTGGAAGAATCAATGAGGCAAGATGTAGACGCTTCCAGGATTGGATCAATAGTTGCAATTTGCTGGATATTGAAACCAGTGGGCCTTTCTTTACTTGGAAGGGGCCAAAGTAGGAAGGGTTGGATAGGGTTTATAAAAGACTGGATAGGTGTTTGTGCAACTCTTATGGACAGAACTGTTTCAATGATGTTGAAGTAAGGGTGGGAGCAAGAATATGTTCTTATCATCATCCTCCGATTGTTGACTTATACCCTGATTCCTTCAGCAGTAGTAGAAGAATTTTCAGATATCAAGCAGCTTGGCAAATGCATGAACAATTCAAAGACATGTTAAAAGATTGTTGGGAGGGAGAAGATGAAGCACATAGCAAGCTGCAAAGAATCAAGCAGAGTGTTGAAAAGTGGAACCGTGATGTTTTTGGGCGAATTGAGAAGAGGAAAAGAAGGTTGATGAACAGACTGCATGGGATTCAAATTAGCAACGACAAAGGAGTAACCCTTTCTTGGTACAACTTGAGAGAAATTTGGAAAAAGAGTTAATTGAAACGTTAAAGCAAGAGGAAGTTCTATGGTACCAGAAATCAAGGGGAAGATGGATTGAACAAGGAGACAGAAACACTAGATATTATCACACAAAAACTCTAGTAAGAAGAAGAAGAAATAGAGTGAAAATGCTGAAAAATAGTGATGGGGTTTGGGTAGAGGAGGAGGAAGAAATCGTGAAGATGTTTTAGAGTTTCTATACTACACTCTTTTGTGAACAAGAGATGGAAAAGGGGTGGGTTGAAACTAAACAGAAATGGGGTAAAGTCACAAATCAAGAAATTGCACTGGTCAATAGAAAGCCGAGTGTTGATGAAATAAAGAAAGCCTTTGTTTTCAGATGGGAAGCCTAAAAGCACCTGGAGAGGATGGGTTTCCAGCAATGTTTTATCAACAGAATTGGGATATAGTGGGAGAAGCGGTGACAGAGCTAATTAAAGATTTTTGGAGCCATCCTGAGAGAATTAGAGAAATAAACAGCACCCTAATTGTGGTGATTCCAAAAGTTGAGCATCCTAAATTGGTAAGCCAATTTAGACCTATAGCTTTATGTAATGTTTTGTATAAGGGTATTACAAAGTTGATTGTTAATAGATTAAAACCTCTAATGGACAAACTAGTTTCTCCCTTTCAAACTAGTTTTGTCCCTAAGAGAAGTATTCATGATAACATAATAATTGCGAAGGAGATGGTCCATACAATGAATAGAATGCAAGGTAAAAAAGGGTATATGGCTGTTAAAATTGACTTGGAAAAAGCCTATGATAGGATGTCTTGGTGTTTTGTGGGAAAGGTTTTGGAAGAAATAGGCTTTGATGAACATGTTAGGAAGGTTATAATGATGTGTATTAGCACTTCAAATATGGCTCTTACGTGGAATGGAGAAAAGAAAGAGGCATTTGAACCTTCTAAGGGATTAAGACAAGGGGATCCCCTTTCTCCATATCTTTTTGTACTTGGTATGGAGAAATTATCCCACATGATTGCTGATAAAGTAAAGGAAGATGTGTGGAAGGCCATGAAGATTGGAAGGAGGAAGATTGCAGTGTCACATCTACTTTTCGCAGATGATTTACTTCTATTTTGTGAGGCAAATATAGACCAAGTGTGTACTGTGTTGAAAGTTTTGGAAGATTTTGCAGGTATTTCAGGGCAGAAAATTAATGTTCAGAAAACCAGTATCTTCTTCTCTAAGAATGTGGATAGAAGATTGCAACAAGATATTTGTGGGGTCTCAGGGTTCAAGAAAATGGAGGATCTAGGGAGATACTTGGGAGCTTATATAACAAAAGGAAGAAATACACGTGAGAAGTTTCAGTTTTTAATTGACAGAATGCAGAACAAATTGAATGGGTGGAAAAAACAGACTTTATCCTTGGCTGGAAGAATAACCTTGGTTCAGGCAGTAACAAATCAAATGACTGTATTTCACATGCAGCATACCCATGTTCCAGTGGGTGTTAGAGAAAGAATGGAAAAGATTCAAAGAAATTTTATTTGGGATGAGGAAGATGGGGAGAGAAAATACCATGCTATAGGGTGGGACCTAATGTGCACTTCAAAGGAGAATAGAGGTTATGGGCTGAAGGACGTGGGAATAATGAATGATGCGCTACTAGGGAGAGTAGGCTGGAATATTCTAGCTAAACCTAACAGACTATGTGCGCAAATTTTGAAAGAGAAATATGGAAGGAATAAAGACCTAAAGAAGGAATGTGTTGTAAAGCCAGTTGATTCAGAGTTGTGGAAAAATCTTGGGAGATTATGGCCAAGACTGATAGAAAATGTTGGCTGGGAAGTTGGCAATGGTGAGTCAGTGGATTTTTGGAAGGACAAATGGCTTAATAATGAGAAAAAAGTGTCTATACAAAATGAAATAAGGTTGGATGAGCAAGAGTTAAACTGTAAAGTTAGAGACATGGTAGGCCAGGATGGTGAATGGGATATGCAGAAACTTAAGTACATGATGTCTGAGGAAGATAGAATGCTCATTTTGGCAACACCACCACCAAGAGCTGAGTATGGGGAGGACAAGATTAAGTGGGGTTCATCCCTTAGTTCAGATTATGTAGTTTCTGAAATGTATCAGATGTTGAAAAATGAAAATGGCGAAGCTAACGGGCTGTGGAGGAACATATGGAAATGGAAGGGTCCTAGAAGGATTCAGATTTTCTTGTGGATTGCTGCACATGACAGAATTCTTACTGCTACAAGAAGAAGTAAAATAATTGGGGGAAACCCAGTTTGTCAAAGATGCATGAATGGTGTGGAAGATACTATGCATGTATTAAGAGACTGTGCTAAAGCAAAGATTATTTGGGAGCAGTGTAGAGGTTTTACAAGAGAAGAAGAATTTTACAGTTTGCAAAATGGAATTTAACTAGAAATAACAGCAAGTGGAACGTTTGGTTTGGAGTGGTATGCTGGAGTCTCTTGAATTGGAGGAACAAACAGCTCTTTGATGATGGTTTCACAATGCCAAAGGATCCTATTACGGTAATTGGCAATTATGCAAGGGAAATAATGAATGCAGTAAGTCATAGTGGGGGATTGGAAGTGGGGAGGAGTTTAATGAACGTTTGTTGGAAGGCTCCAGAGGAGGGCTGGTTAAAGTTGAACGTTGATGGGGCATCTAAGGGAGCTACACACTTAGCAAGATGTGGTGGGCTAATCCGAGGAAGTGATGGAAGATGGATAAAGGGATTCTCCAAACAACTAGGATCTTGCTCAGCTATCAAAGCTGAAATATAGGGAGCTGTCACAGGTTTAAAACTTGCTAATAGCTTGAAGGTAAAGAGACTAATTGTGGAATGTAACTCTAGTTCTGTTGTTCATATTTTAGAGTCTCTTTTGGAAAATAATGAAGTTGTTTCGAGTCTGCTAAAACTTGTGAGGAAAGAACTGCTTTCTTTACAGCAGGTTAGTTTTTCTCATGTGTATAGGGAAGGCAATATGTGTGCTGATTGCCTAGCTAATTCTAGTTTTAATCAGGGAGAGGGCATAGTTTTTTATGATGAACCTCCAAGACAGATTAGAGACCTCTTGTACAGAGACTTTGTGAGTGTTTCATACCCACGCATAATTTTGTGTTAATCTGATTGGGCTTGGCCCCGTATTTTCATCAAATAAAAGAGTATTCATCTATATTTTTATTAACTTCTTATCATAGATATAGCGCTTTTCAATTTTATTTTTTTTTATATAAAAACTAGTCATACACTTATTTTACATATTCCGTGGAGCTTTTGAAATGATCGCTCAGGTAAATAATTTATTAAAAAAATACTGCTTATAAATTTCCTTATATTTTATGTTTACATATCATCTCATTCCAAGACAGCACATCATCACACGAAAAAAAAGAAAAGAAACCTCTTTCCCCACTTATCATCATCACCAATTACCATTGACCATTTAGATCTATTAGCATAAATTGATAAAAATAAAACCTCGAAAGTCGAAACCATCCCCCACCCCCCCCCCAGCTTAAAACCAAAAAACTACAGACAACTAAAAGTGATTTTAAGGAATGGCTATAAATGCATGCGGAGATATCTGTCAATCTGCTATAGAAGCACACAAACTCGTTAAGCTCAGACTCTAGCCAAAATAAATAGAATACAAGCCAGTCAATTCTCAGTTCATCGAAATACAATAACAACATAGTTCAATCGTGAAAACAATACGAGGTGATGTTTAATAATTTTGCCAAATATGATCAAGACAACACATAATGTATCAAAGCCGCTTCCAGGTGGTTAACAATAGAACATAACCCTCTTCACATTCTCCTTCAGAGCGGGAAGAGGCCGAACGGTAGCAGCAACACCAGGCAGTCGAGTGCCCCGCACTGGTCCAACTCCACGTGCAGCAGCAGCACCACTGGTCATGGACCCACTCTCCGACGTCTCTGGTTCCATATAAAATCGAGCTCGGAAGGCAGCCAAATGAGCATAATACGCAGGCGGCACTACAATGAAACACATCGAACTTAGATATAACCAAGTCATATCTTAGCTATTCAAACAACAGCTGCATCTTTTAAGAAGTACTACTCACCAATTGAAACAGAACGAGTGCATCTAGCATAACTGCAGAAACCACCATAACATGTCAAATTCAAATCAAAGCCTTGTTAATTACAACATTAACATAGTAAGAGACAGTATCAGAAATGGAGCACAAAAAGAAAAGGGACCACAACAGATGAAAACATCAAGGGAAGTTCATTTTACGTGTAACAAAGGTTGTTTGTCAATGATTGCAGTGCATCAGCTGTAAAATTGTTCTCATCCCATAGCACATGGTAATGAGCTGGCCGGCTTGTTCCCTGTAACAATATGGAACCGAGCATAGCTTAGCATCACTGTACAAATAGCAAATCAATTCATACTGTAAGTATAGGCAAGAATGCGTCACCTGGATCCCAGCATGGCTACAAAGATAGAAGTCAAACTCGGTAGGATGACAAATCTTAGAGTCTACAACAGTGCCTGCAAGATTGCCAGATAATGTCTTTTATCATATTGATCAAATCAGGAAACAAATGTCATCATATACCAGAAGTTAACAAAACATAAAATACCAGGCAATATGTTCCCACTGCGGTCAACAAAACTCCTGTCATGATGGTTGCTGGCAAACAGCCTCGTATGATGGCGCTTCTGAACCACCACAAATGTGACAGGAGGCTGATAGTTAGGTTCCAGGGACGCACATGCCTGTCAGGGAAGCAACAGAGAAAATAAACTATGTTAAGGACATTCAAAAATCTTACTTTTTCTTGCCAAAAATAATTTTACTGAAGACAAAAGGGAAGGGGGGAAACCAACCTTGCGGATAGCATCAAGCTCAAACAGTAGAACCTGATAGAACTGCCCCTCACTCACACCATCCCTGCCAAAAGGTTTATAATTCAGAACCAAAGGGGCAAAAAATAAATGTGCTTTCAGGATTGATAAATCTAATGCTTACCTATAAAATATAATGCGCTGTGGCTTCTGCCCAGTGGCCCTCCGGAAAGATATAAGAAGCTCCCTGCAGAAAAATCAAACAAAGCCCATTAAATGAATTACAGCCCCAACTTTTATCCTCAAAAAATATAACAGACAGCATGTGCACCCCACGACCAGAAACAAGAGAGAGAAGAGAGGGAGTACTTGATCATTCCACCAGTTACTGTTCCCCTTACTGGATCTTGCCATTGTTTGAAGAGGTCTTGAATGAGCTCCTGTCGATGAGCTTGAGCACACACCAAACCAGCATACTTCGTGATTTCAGGCCAATCTTGAGAGGCCACAACCTATTTAACCCAAAAGCAGGGTGGATTTTGATGAAAGTTGAGTCGAAAAGCAAATAAAGACCAGACAGATGATCAAAACCTAGATGTAAATTCAACATACAGCTGCAATGGATGGACTTGAATCCTCTCCAGGATGTGGATGAGTAACATCAGCACCAAAAATAATTGTTGGTCGGTCACTGACTAGAGGGATACGCCGTGAAAGTGCATCAACTAGCACTGTGTTCCTTCCACCTACTTTTACATTGATTTTCAAGGCAACATTTGCAAGATACTGCTTACTCATTTTATAGACATGCTTAGTCAAACAGCACTGAGAAACAACCCCAAGATCTGTCTCACTTATTCGTTTCAGGTCACCTGTAGAAGAAATAAGAGGATACTGATCAAAAGGTTACAGGAAGAAACAATATGGAAACATGTGATGGAAGGCGTCATTACCATAAAGAGAGCCGTTATTATCGGGCAAAATAACAATCAGAAGATCAAGCTCCTTCCCCCTCAGTCTGGCTTTTGCATCATGATACCGAGTTTTCAGAACCCTATCCACCAAGTCAGGCCGGGCACTACATGGGGGAAGTACTGGCTCAGAGTTGAATGCCTGAATACATTTTAACCAAATAGGTCAATTATTCAAAAGATATAAGCAAGCAAATAATCTGATCAAAATTAACAACTGAGATGCAGAGAGGAAACAGGCACCATCCACATACCATGCCAGATATACAACACATTTGAGCAAGCTCATAACAAAACCCACTCGCAACACTGTCTTGAACATTTCTGGAAAAGTTGATGCAGATCCAGTGGTTGACTGTCCCCCCATTGACCATTTTCTGAACCAGTTTAGATCAAATCACAGCAAGTTATTTCAGAACTCATTGTCAAGAAGGGCAGCTATGAACATTCAAAAAGATACATATATATGCATCGTCAACTTACAATCAATAGCCTATTATGGTTGAATTATCCTTCATTAAATAATTATAATTAAAAACTATTAGCTCAATTTAGTATACACCATAGATCGCGTGCATGAAAAAGACCGTGATCAAGGAACCTTCAGTGGAGATGCACAAGTTTAACAAATTAAAAAGGAGCAGGGTACCTGTTAACCCGGGGGGGGGGGGGGGGGGGGGGGGGAGGGAGTAGGGTACCTTATTCATCATATTCCATTGGCCAACTTGAGGTAGACAATCCTTTTCTCTACCTGTATCATGGTATTTAAGCTGCAGCAAAAGAAGTTCAATTAAACAAGAGGGGGGGGGGGGGGGCTGATATTAACAAGTTCAAAATGAATAAAAGTAATTAATAAAATGAGATTAAGAAGGAAATACCCAAGGTGCAGGAAGGATGCGAGCTTCAACTTGAGCTAGCTTTTCACTGATTTTAATCCCAAACTCTTTGGCATAAGGATCATCACGGTAAGCATTATGATGAACCGTCTGAACAAGGTTAACATAATATATTTTAGAGAAGGCACAAATAATGCCCAATCAATGCTCGTTAACAGAGAGTAGTTGGCATACAGGTCAAACTAATGCTAGAAAAGCACTTAACAACAACAACAAGAAGCACCTAACATGTAATCAAATTTCAAAAAGACATTAAATGCTGCTTTATGAAGGAAACAACCAAGAGCAATCAAACCACAGAATTATTAGGTATTGCATTATACCAATGCAGTGAAGACATTAAGCCCCATACAAACCAAAGCAGTATCAACAATAACCTTAAAGTCTTCAGAGGAGAAAATACAGAGAATACGTCTGATTAAAAAGATATGAACAACCCACATATATTCATATAGCAGAATGTACTTAATGAAATACAAAACGATAATAAACTATTGGTATATCCAAAATTTATGAATCTATGACATGGAGTGAGAAAATCATCTGCTAACCTGCATAATATCACGCTCCCTTTCAACCGGGCGCTGGCATGTGACTTTGAGCAAAGCAGTAATCTGCTTTTCATTCAACCTCTTCGAGTACCTTTGACCTTCTACAATCTTACAAACCTACATTCACAAGAAGATATTACCATGCACTTCCACTAACACAAATAGCTCTGGATTTGTAGGGATTTAACCTCCATTGGCAGATAGTTTGGTCTCTGCGCATTGCCCACTTGCAAGCAAGGCCATTGGGTATGTTGAATGACAAATCCATATGTTTCAGAAAAATAATCAACAACAGACTTCATTGTTCCACTTGCATCAACGGGAAACCTGAAATTGAGAGGCCAAAAATACTTTGAAGTTTTGTTCATATTGCCAAGACAACTTCACATACAAGGGACTAATACTTACGTAAGCTCTCGCGTTGCCTGTGAAGTCAGACCAGAGATGCGATATTTTCTTCTCATATTTCCACGGTGAGTTACTTCAACTCTGACACCTCGAAGTGCTTTCTTTATCTGTTGGTTGAAAAATTAAAGACATGAGTCACATTTCTTGGGATTGGGGGGAAAAAAAAAAGCCTCAGAAAAACACAACTCTTTGGAACAGTTCAAGAAATACATATACATATTGACGCTTTCCAAGGAAGTAACTTTGGCACAAAGTGAATAATACAAGTACAAGCAATACTAAAGGACATAAAACTAACCTTCACACGATCAGCATCAGACAATGGGCGGGAGGAGACATCCCGATTGAGCAACTGAGTAACAAAATCTATTACCGGCAATGGTTCAATAAATGCAGTCGAGGACATATCTGTAAATCCATTAGTAAAACATTAGACCATTACATTAACTAAACTAATTAATTTGACAAATGACTTAATTTACAAAAAGCAGAAAACAAATATCGTATGAGCTTGATTTGTAATTGTCCGCTCATTATGATTAACAACAATTTTCAACAGTATAAGTTATAATCATACAAAAATAAACGATGTAACATAAAAAAAAGAGATGGGACGACATTTGCATATTAAATATTAAATATTTAATTAAATAAATAAATGATATGATAATACTTACCGATGTTGAGAGATAATCCCATCTGAGTAGGACGAATACTTTGATAGAAACCACGCCAACTTTCTAATCCCTCGCCTAATGGTTGCCTCCTACCCAGATTTGGTGAATAAAATGACCTCGCCACAGGACAATACCTTCAAGAAAAAATAATACCCTTAGCATCCAAAACAAGAAGATCAATATAAGTTAGTACATACTGACTCCAGGGAAACAAAACACACATCCGCTGTTCAGGTACCTAGTGGTAGGTAGTTCACGCAGCACAATGTCAAGAACCTGAAGAGCTTCTTGAGGAGCATCAGTCTGCCTTCCCTGCAGGAAGAGTCCTAGATGATGTAGATCTGCCCGGGCAGCCAGTTTTATCACAACTTTGAATTCCCTCTCTCTTCTATGATAAAACATATACAAAATATTATTATATAATCTACTATGGATTATATGACGAAAAATTCTAGCAGCATACTTATGTACCTTGGCCCTCCTGATCCATCATCTTCGTCAAGGAGAGTGATTCTGAACTCCTTTGAAATGAAAGGAAGAGGACCCGCAGTGTAAAGGCTCTTGCGCCCATCATATACAGGAAGTCTCTTACCCAAATGAGACTCTCGATATAGCTTCACCAGCTGCTCCATAACAGCACGATTGACAACCCTTGATGTCACTTCTGGAGTGATAGTGACCTATATCTCATCAAGAAAAACATATTGGTAATCCATAAAATGGAATGGCAAAACAAAATTGCTTATTCCAAGCTAGAGAAGAGTGACTTACATCATACTGGTGCAAATCTTTATTGGGTAACTCTGCAAAGAAGTGGTTAGCCTTAACCATACACCTGGTGCCATAGCTACCCTTTCCAGGCCTAAGAGGGAACCGCACTGATTTGCTTGAGGGCGGGGCAGGAGAAACAGATTCTGAATGAATTGTCATCTGCCCCATTTGTTGTTCCACTTGTGAGGGATCAAACTGTCGGGAAGAGGAACTGGCCTCAGACGTTGCAATTTGAGGAGTCACCCCAGCATGATGTGGAACAGGGGTAGCTTGGTGCAGCTCGGGAGCTTGAGGTCCAGATGGGCCACCATAAGAAGGTCCACTGCCACGGCCACTGCCCCCACCACCACGTCCACGACCTAATTGCTGAGAGTGCCCTCCCCTCCCCCTGCCTTGATATTCAGGGGGAGCACCGTACTGCTGTTGGGGCATTCCACGACCCCGGCCCCCACTATAACCTCCCCGTCCTCCTTGAGGACCCCAACCTCTACCTCCTTGGGATCCTCCCCCTCCTGTGGCCTGCTGTGGGGATGGAGCACTTCTTTCAACATGTTGTTGAGGTCCTCGACTAGTTTCCCCACTCTGCTGCGCCTCAGAGCTTTCACCTCCACTAGGCACTTCAGTTCTCCTTTTTCTTACCATGATGAGCACTACAAACAAAGAAAACATCAGGAAATTCTTAGCACGACTTAAAGACGAGATAACACACACCTTAATAGGCATGAAACAAATTAATCATATAACAAAAATGGGACAAACAGATGGGACCCAACTGGAAAACCAGAACTTATTTCCACCCAATGCACTTAGTGAATTTTTCATGTTAGCAATAGGAAGAAAAGCATTTATCACTATTCAGTTAGGGAATTCCAGATGTACAAAACTAAAGACAAAAAATACTGTAGCAGCGACCACTTCAGTCTCACACTAATACGTTATCACTCTATTATGATTATGAATAAACTTAAATCATTAAGAGGTATGAACATAAGGATGAAGGCGAATTTTATACCACACTCTAAGATCTACTTTTTGGAAAAAAGAGATGTAAATGGGCTAGTTGAACACAACAAAGAAATCCAACATGTTCACGGCAACATATTGCATGAATGGGAACAGAAAATACGGTCAAAGTTCTAAAACACAACAAATAAGTGTTCCAAACAACAGTGTCTTCAACATTGAACTTCCGGGCCTCATAAGAGCCAAAAAATGTTACTCTCCAAAACTTCCACCATAATAACCACCAATCCTTGGACTAACGCACATTTCAACCAAAATTTAGCAGAATAATAAAGCAACCTTAGCAATTAGCATCACCTTCCGCACGAAGAAAACAACAGAACAATAAAAAATAATCACTCAAAACTCATAAACCTACGAGGAAGAGGCCCAGGATCAAAAACCGAACCCGCATTGGCATCTAAAAAGATAATGGGAAATCCGAAAACCCGGAGCACATTCAGTCAGGATGTCAAAAATTGAACTCATCAGAATCCGGCTTAGATCGGATCCAGAGTCAATATCAAGTCACCAAAACGTCAACCAAGGCCAATAGATGGAATGGATAGATTACTGAAACCTTAGAGAAAACGCCACAAAGACTCAACCCTATGCACAGACTGAAGGAGCAAAATCGCATCCAGAATAATCACAACTTCGACAGCAAAACACAACAGAACTAAAAGTAAAAACTAGAACCCTAATACCAGAGAGCGAGATTACCAGCAGACAGAAACAACCGTTTCCTCTAGGTATCCGGAAATCCGCAAAGGCCCGGTGTAGCAAGTAGTGCAGAAGAAGAGCAAAACACGGAAGACGCTATTGGTACGGTAAGAAAAACGCAGGCCCAGGCCACCACTCTCCCTCCGTTTGGCAGTCACGCACACATGGAAAGGGAAGAAAATGAAGGGCCTTGATCAGAAAACGCTGAAAATGCCACTATAATTAAAATTTGCTTGTTATATGTTGTATGAGTGCGAGTGGATTATGCATATACATATATAGGCCCTCTGGAATTACCACTCTGTCCCTGTCACCTCCTTTCTTACTTGACACTCTTCTTCTTGGACAAGTAGTCTCAGGGAAAATGCCCCCGTCGCTTTTTCTCCATGTTTGCATATTTCCTTTTGGATGTTGGTGGGATCCACAGGATGTGAACTTCTGGAACATTCCACGCGACCAAATGACTCAGCCTGTCAAGAGGATTTAATTGGCTTGGTGTCCTACATGGACGATGACGTGGACGTGCTGACGTATCATATACTTGTGGGGGCCGGGGGCGTGCGCTTGTCGGATGCCACCAAGGGCGGTTCTCACGATTGGGCCCTTACGCCCAACGAGCCACGAAGGTGCTCTCCCCCAAAGCTAATTTAAAAAGTAATAATACTGCTAATAACTAAATTAGTATAACAATATTGATAAATATAATGCCCTCGCGTTGATGGCACGCGCTTAAACCAGATGAAAATGTCGTTACTCCCATGCCTCCGGACAAGTGGCAAGCAGAGCTCAAAGTTGCCACTACTCCATTATAAAAATATACTTTTATTTTTAAATATGTATAAATAAGAAATAAATAACAAGAGAGAAATAATTAAGAATAACATTAAAAAATATATTAAATATTAAGTTAAATATAAAATAAATCTTATATAATAAATCACGTCACTTCTCAAATTTAAAATTTATAAATAAAATAGGAGGAAATAGTATTTTGGGATTGCAAGATGCAAAAATATATTCGAAGGAGTGGACCATGATTTGTTAATTTTTTAAAATATCTATAACTACATCCTCTTGATGGCAAAAATTTAACTACATCCATTTGAAATATATTACTTGATTATTACACATTATTTTTACCTAACATTAAGTTAATTCAAATTTTTCTCCCATATGTTTCTTTTTCCTTTTTTTCCCAGGAAGAAAATTTTTAGCAAAAGCTCCCAATAAACACCTCTAATCAAAAAGTGCAAATTGAATCACTGTTTTGCTTTTATTCTAAGGAGAAATCACAATAAAGTCTTAGAGCGTGGGGGTAGTTGGCTATCAAGAAAAATATTTTTTAAAAAATATTTTTTTAGTAAATCGAAATAAACTTATCTACATATTTAATTCGTATATTATAAAATTACTTTTAAAAACATAATTTTGATTCCATTCAAATACCTCCTTAATAAAATGATTTAGTCGTTCAAAAATTCAATAATAACTATAAAACATGTAATGATAAATGTGAGTGCAAGAAGTAACAAGAAGATTTGATTGCTCACTCATTGTCATGATTTTTTTATAATTAAATCTCTTCCTATTTATTTTTACTTTTTTTTTTCAGCTTTAGAAATAATGTTGGAGGGTGAGGTGAGTTGAAGGGGAGGAAATTGCTTTTGATTTACAGTATCGAGATTAATAAGATATTCCGTACCCTTTATATCCACTTTCCGTAACTTTGATTATTAAAAAGGCAAATCAGCTGCAGCAAAAAACTGAAATCTTCCCATAGAGATATAAAGCAAGCAATGCGAGAAAAGAAGGAATCCCACGAGCGTAAAAAAAAAAATCCCAAAAAATTAGAATTACAAAATTTCAAATTAGGTTTGATAAAAACACATCCTAATAATACCGAATTTACAAGTAAATTTTTTTAATTTCATATTTGAAGTTTAGTAATTTCAAATTTCTTGTTAAATTCTTGAGGAAAAAAAAGAATTTTGATTCATGTAATTAAAAATAAAACATATCAAAGCTGCAGGCTTACAGTTTAAAACCTTCTTTCCTCAAGTAATTTAACCACAAAATTCCGTAGTGACCTTCTACAGTGTTGTGCTAAAATGTAAGATTTTGTTGGGCAAAAAAATGAAATACGCATCCAATCTTTAATGTGTGGGTAGTTATAAAATTTATTTTAATTTTGAAAATAATAATTTCAATACAAATGATTAAATATATATGATTTTGATAAATCATAAAAAAGTTTATAAATTTTTTGATCTAACTTAACTATTTTTAAATTAAGCAAACTAGTTGTCTAATTACTATATTTAGTCTTTAAAAAGTACGGAGGATGTGATTTTATGTTTCATGTTCCAAATTTTAATATTTAATATTAAAAAAAAAAAAAAAACTCAAGGTGAGTGCATGTAGTCAAGGCCAAGCTTCAAGGAGGGTATCGATAAATGCAAAAGAAACGCTGGCGTGGAACACCACCAATATCCAAAAAGGTTAGTTTGACCATATTTTGACTCTGCTTTCAAAGGGTAATTTCCCCAGCATCCATCCACACAGTAAGCACCAAAACAACCCTAGTCTTGTACTGTCTGGCAAGTTCCCAGGCACAATTTGCTAAGAAAAACATAATTAAAAAATGTCCCAAGATTTTTAAAATAACTTGAAGGCTATGTTTGGATGGAAGAAAATGAGGAGAAAACAATATTAGGAAGAAAGGCTTTTAATAACAACAATACTCCTCTTATCCTTAATATAAAACCTATTTAACTAATTTGATTAGATTAAGAAAATTAGATAAGTTAATTAATTATAAGAAATATGATATGTTTTTTCTAAAGTGGCATAATCATATTTCTTAATGTTTTTCTCTTTTTCTACTTGATTATGGTTGAGAAAATATTTATAAGGATAATTTAGAAAAAATTGATAAATATGAAAAATATGTCTTATATTTAGAATAAAAATCAACTTAAAATTTAGATCATATATCAAGGACCGAAAAAGTACTAAAAAAATTTGCTGTTGTTAAAAGTTTTTCCTCATGATATTCTTTCCCTCTTAATTTTCTTTTCATCTAAACATAAGGTAAAATACTCGTGAGTTAAGAATGTGCAAAATCTTAGCATGAAAAATTTGACACCATTATCAAAAAAAAGTATCAAAAAGTATAGACATCAGACCACAAAGTTACTTTTGATAAAGTTAAATACAGTAATATGCGTACGTTAGCCAAAAAAAATAGTAGTTTTTCTATTCTTAATATATAACCTATTTAACTAATTTAATTAGATTAAAGAAGTTAGGTAAATTAGTTAATTATAAAAAATATGAAATATTTTTTTCTAAAACACCATAATCACCTTTCTTAATATCTTCCCTCCCTCACTTATTTGATTATGGCTGAGGGAGTATAAATAGGGATGATTTAGAAAAAATTGATAAATATGACAAATAGGTCTTATATTTGGGACCAAAATCAATTTAATAATTTGGTTATATATTAAGGATCAGAAGAGTAATATGCATGCAGTAATACCAAATTTTTTTATAATGCACTGTTTATATTGCAGTTATATAATTATACAAATATGAGTAGTGTTGGTGAAGTTGAGGACTTTAAAAGGACAGGGTTAGACGTGGGGCATAGATACTTCTCACTTCACTTGTAATTTCATGCAGCTACTATTTACTTTTATAGGAATATAATTAATAATAAATTTTAATAACAATAAAACAAAACAACATGCTCATCTGATCTTTAATATAAGACCTATTTAACTAATTTTAGTATATTAAGGAAGTTAGGTAAGTTAATTAATTATAAGAAATGTGACATGCTTTTCCTAAAATATCATAATCATCTTTCTCAATACATCGGCTTCCTCTTCTATTTGATTATGATTGAGAGAGTATTCATAGGGGTAATTTAGAAAAAAATTAATAAATATGATAAATGGGTCTTATATTTAGGACCAAGACTAACTCAACAATTAAGTCCTATATTAAAGATCGGAGGAGTGTAATAATAAGTTTCAAAATAATAAATGATAACTCCTCACTTATTATTGTGACTTGTTGATAATTATATTTTTATTGAGACCTCATTGTGATTTTCTTAAAAATTATTTATATGTATACTCTCCCCAACCCTCAATATAAAAACTAACTAACTAATTTAAGTATATTAAAAAATTAATTAAATTAATTATTTGTAATAAATAGATATTGTCTTCCTTATAATACCCTTCCAACCTTATTAATTATATGTATTAATTAGAATTATGATTTAATAAAACATTTAATATATATCACTATTAAAGAGACTGTTTTAAAATACATAGATATGATATGAGAGTTCCTACAAACATAACACAGAGAACACCACATGTCGAGAGGATGAAGCAGGCTTCCCCTGTTTGGTGGAACGTGGATCCGTCCTCGACGAATTTTACGGTGATTATAAAAAGTAGAAGTTGCGATAAATAAATACTCCTCCGATCTTTAATATAAAACCCACTTAACTATTTTAAGTATGTTAAAAAAGTTAAATAAATTAGTTAATTATAAGAAATATGAAACATTTTTCCTAAAATACCATAATCATCTTTCTTAATACCTTATCTTCCTCTTCTACTTGATTATGATTGAGGGAATATCCATAAGAGTAATTTAGAGAAAATTGATAAATATAAAAAATGAGTCTTATATTTAGGATAAAAACTAACTCAATAATTCGGTCCTATATTAAAGACTAGAAGAGTATATTAATCAGGGACAATTAGAACCACTTAAAAATAGGAGATGATAAGAGAAAGGACAAATTGACGTCATTAATCACCTTAATTGAAGTGGGTGTTCACTATTTTGGAGTCATTCCACTAACCTCAATCAACAAAAACTTGCTATGATTAAAGGAGAACGATAAAAAATGAAGTTTGATTCCAAGTGGAACTGTGATTCTAATTGGCATTATCATTATTATGATTATGATTACGATTATTTATGTTTATGGGCCTAATGGCTCCTTATCTTATCTAAAATAATCAATTAATGCCAGGTGTCTTTGTCACATTGGAATACACAAGCGGCCCGGAATATAGATCTTAGGTATTTTCTTGGTACCAGGGAAACAGATACGAGGTAAAGAAGAGAAAATTTTAATGAGCTCTGTCTAAAAAATTTAAAAAAAAAAACTTTTGGAGTTTTAATAAAGA